CAGGTTCGAGTTCTGCGGAAGACTGAATTAAATGGCAGTCACAGAGATTGTTAAACCGTGACTAAGACATCTTTGACGGTTCGTCATCACTACCCACTGTTATAGATTGTTATGTGATCGTTAGATATATGCCAGATTTTGTGTAATATAACAATGGCAACCAAAATAACCAAACAAGGGATATCGTTGAACACACGGGAATTTTCTTACGTCAAGTTGTCTGCTCGAACCTCAGAGATGTTATACAGAAACAGTAGTATCTCCATATTCGAGTGTTCTCTTTATCGATTCAATTTAACCGAGTTCCATCGGAAATTCCCAGTCTGATTTCAGTTCTGGATGTTCAGGCTCGTCTAGGAAAGTCTGTGTTGGCTTTAGTTCACGCAGCAATATTATGCAGGTAGTGATATATCAGAACAGCAGTTCTTCTCAAGGAACTGTGGTAACTCTTAGGCGCGAGTGGTTAATAGCTGGCCCACGGGCCCTATCTTGGCGGACGCCATATTCAGAGCGACCCGCAACATATCTTTACGTGCCGCCTGAAAGCCGGAATATTGAAGTCGAACCAAACGTTCATTGCCAGCCAACGGCTGTGTAAACATTGTTCCCGCAGTGAGGTCAGGGAAAATTTTGTTTGTATTGTGTGGAAATAAGGAATTCAGAATGTGTGTCCTAATTCTGTCTCATGCGTCACGTAAAGGTTACACACGTCAAATATCCTCATCCTTCTGCAAAGAAACTTTCATACATCCAGTCAGCTCGACTGTGTACAGTTACAATTTTTGTGAGTGGATCATCACGTGGTCATGAAAGGTGCTCTCTAACTTCAGTCTTCCTGGTTGTTTTGATCACGTTTTCCATTTGCATGAACTTGTAACGGATCTCTTTATTTCATGTGTGTGTGTGTGTGTGTGTGTGTATGTGTGTATACTGTGTGATTGCTGATAGTTTACTGCAGTAAAGATGTCAGTTGACATTGGAAATAGTTTCGACATGCTAGTTTGAATATTGCAATTGGGAGTACGTACCAGGTCCCCTTATTCATATTGCCCAGAGGTTCAACTACAAAACTTCTTTATTAAGTATCGAAAGTGTTGTGTAGAATTCCAGCATCGCTGTAGCTACCTGGTTGTGGTTTAAAGCAGTGCGTATGGCTTTTGATCAAAATAATTCAGAAATATCATCAGTCAGTAAAGTACAGTATGAGCCAAAAATGCAGTACTGAAACTCGCGCATGTCGAACGTGCATGTGCCTTTGTCAACGGGACATAGCTCCAGCCGCACGTGTTCCCAGTAGTGGAAAGGAAGTGTGTTATGCAGTTGTTGGAAATGGGGAAAAGGTATTCATAGTTCAGTATTATTTCCGCTCATACGGAAGTGGTCGCCAGACAACTCGCTTCCTTGGTTTGAGCGGCCAGATGTTACCGTCCAGAAACCGCTACACAGTACACGTGTAACGATATGGTGTGCCGTCTCAGCTCACGGTATATTAGGCCCCTGTTTCATTGAGGATGAGGAAGGCAATGCTCTTACCGTCACCCAAGAGTGCTACAGGGACATGGTGATTGGACCATTTCTTCAGGATTTGAGAAGGTTCTGTCGTGCAAGGGGTCTTCACATGAATAGACAGTGGTATCAACAGGAATTCTTTACATTTCAGTACTCTATTTTTTGCGCGAACTGTACATTCTCTTTATTCCTGATTAAATTTGCCAAAGGTCATTCAGAGCCTCTGGTCTGATTTTGAGGTTATCGCGACTCGAAAAATTAACCTTCACTGTGGTGGATCGTTTTTTGGATTGACGTGTGCTATGAGGATTATCGAATAACACTCGAAATAATTACAGACATTGTTATGTTTAGCAGAGTTCCCGCTCCGCATTCTGTCAGTCAGATCATAACATCTGGCATTGAGGATAAAAGTAAAGTTGTCCTTTCGCTTAACTAATGAAGCACTAAACCATGAAGGCGTATGGGGGAATGGATGTATAGACCCACACTTTCTTGACCTCGGCACTAGTTGGAGGTGAGTGGTCAGCTTCACGCCTTGGCCGCTTTACCCCCAGGAAAGAGCTTCCTTTACCCATTGAATAAGAGGTTGGGTGGACCCCAGACCATGTCTGGACATCGTGGAGAAGAGAAAACATTTTTCACCCTACGGGACTCGAACTCCGACACCTCCGTCGTCCAGCCCGTAACCAGTCGCTATACCTACTATGCTACCCCGGCTCTACAAAATACAGGGTTTCCTTTCGCTGGTTATCACAGACGCTATCAGCACCGAGACGGAAGGGCTTCTGTTGAATTAGAAAGGATTTAGTAGGAGTCTGCAGTACCTCAATCGAGGGAATGAGTAAAACCACGAAAATGCTCAGTCAGGATAGCTGATATCCTGGCCGAAATTCGAACGAGGCTCTTTGGTCAAAATACAAATTCCAATCCCTTCCAATTTAGCAAGTTCCATAAATGATTCCAAGTGTTGGCAGTTACATGTATTTGCCCGATTTCTAGGCTTACTACCTGCAACCAGCGCTTGCGCACTCAGTAGACACCAAGACAATGGGCATTGTCTGTCTGTAGTGCTGATAGGTACTGTCCATTGTCTCGGATAAGCCTGTGTTACACGACTTATCGGGTGTTGGCACTGCGAAGAAAACAGGATCGCTCGAGTATGCTTTTGTCGGAACAACAGAGCAAGTGATCAGGCAACCAAACCGAGACGTCCGTTCCACTACTACTACTACTACTACTACTACTACTACTACTACTACTACTACTACTACTACTACTACTACTACTACTACTACTAACTACTACTACTACCACCACCACCATCACCACCACTACTACTACTACCACCACCATCACCACCACTACTACTGCTGCTACTACCACCACCACCACCATCACCACCACTACTACTGCTACTACAACTACCACTACTACTACTACTACAGAAAATAACTGCATGAATAACAAACATTACGAGAATTAGAACAACCATTCCTGGACCGCAAAGGTAAAGGTATCCCTGCAAGAGGCCGTGGAGGCCCATGGGATTGTGATGTCGAAGCTCCCACATTTTCTAGACAGTCGGCTCATAGATGGTGATCAGGTTGTTAGCCCTACGCTCCGGCCGCCCTTTACGGCGTTCTTGGTTGAGGCACTTTGCTACAAGGTGGAGAGTCATGAATTCGATTCCCGATTAGTTCATTGGATTTTTCAATTGACCTAATCCTTCCAGCCGCACTATGGCCCTGGGGTCGTCTCAACCTCTAACAGAAATGAATACCAGGAATCTTACTGGGGGTAAAGGGCGACCGGCCGGCGCATAGGGCTGACTTCACCGCCATCTGTGAGCCGATTGTGTAGAAAATGTGGGAGTCTCAACTTGCCACAAACCTGAGGGCCTTCACGACCCGTTACTCCTGTACCCCTTGACGTACTGACTGTCATACTAACCTAGTATTAAAGGTGTTCGGGTTTCTTCTCGAACATCGCTGCGAATTTTAAAATACAAAATCTGTAGTCACATTGAAAGCATTCGCCAAAGACGAGTAGAGGTAACATCAAAACTTCGCGTATATGAAATATAATTCTAGGTCGGACATGGATAATAATAATAATAATAATAATAATAATAATAATAATAATAAAATGTAAAGTTATCCTTGTAACAGGCCTTCGAGGCTCCAACATTTTCTAGACAATTAGCCCACAGATGGCGGTGAATTTGTCAGCCTTACGCGCAAGCCGCCCTTTACGCCCCAGGAAAATTCCTGGTACTTATTTCTATTAGAGGCTGAGTCGACCCCAGGGCCATAATGCGGATGGAAGTATTAGGTCAATTAAAAATGCAATAACTTCATCGGGAATCGAACGCGTGATCTTCCGGCTTGTCGCAAAGTGCCTTAACCAACTACGCTACCGCGTGCCCCGACAAGGATACGATCTAACGTAAAATAATATATTGTAACGTGTTGGGTGTATATCACGCGACAAGTAACTTCACGCCGTTTTGGATGTAGC